ATATATATATATATATTTTTTTTAGTAACTTAACGTGTTTCTTTTTCTTATCTTGATGCTTCAAGTAACGTAATTTTAGTGTGTGTGTGTATGTGTGTGAGTACATGCATATATAGATGTATAAGTATATGTATATATATATACACATATATACACTTTCAATATCTTATTTCATAACTGAGGTCCACTCCTCTCTTCAAGGTATGAAAATATCAAGAGAGAGAGAGAGAGAGAGAGAGAGAGAGAGAGAGAGAGAGAGAGAGAGAGAGAGAGAGAGAGAGAGAGAGAGAGAGAGAGAGAGAGAGAGAGAGAGAGAGAGAGAGAGAGAGAGAGAGAGAGAGAGAGAGAGAGAGAGAGAGAGAGAGAGAGAGAGAGTGAATAAGAAAGAAAGAGAGAGAGAGAGAGAATACGAGTGCATGCGTACAGGCTACTTCGTAAACTTACTTGATCAAGAGAGTTGCGTTCATCTTTGGTGAGTTTCTCCTGGTCTTTGATATCTCTTAGAATTTGGTCCCTCCTTTGGGGACCCTCGTTGTCGTTCAGATAGGAAAGCACGAAACTTTTGTATTGTTGTCTTTTTTGTGCTGCAGCTCCCTGCGGGAAGAAGAAACAATCAAGAAACCCTAAATATGTCGGAAAAAACAGGAAGAGAAAGAGAAAGGAGCCGGATATATGTGTATGCACATGTGCACCTAAATACATATACGTATACATTAATGCTATGCCAGTCTCACGGTGCAACCGTTGGTTTGACACGTGGTCCCGCCAACAGTACACCATGATCTGGCGCAAGGACCAAAAGGCATCAGGATGTGACTCCAAGGCAATGGATAATGTCCAGGTTTCACTACCGTAGAGCAAAACCGATGTCATTATCAGGGCCTTGAAGACGCGTAGCTTGGTCCTTCTGCACATGTAGCGGTATCTCCAACTATTGCCGAGAGAGTTCATGAGCCCTGCTGCCAGGCAAATCCGTCTGCTGACTTCCTGGTCTGACAGCCCAGAGTTATGAACTACACTATCAAGGTATGTAAAGCTCTCTGTGACTTCAATGTCCTCGCCGCAAGCATGTACCAATTGAACAGGTTCTCCTAGCAAGTCCCCAAAGTCCTGGATCTTGGTCTTGGTCCAGGAGACCTCTAGACCCAAGGGCTTCGTTTCATTACTAAACTCATCAAGAGCCATCACTAAGGTTCCAAAGACTCAAATAGAATAGCATCATCAACAAAGTCAAGATCAGTAACTTTGATATTGCCCAGAGTTGCTCCACAATGACTTTGAACAGTAGCTTTGCCTAGTATTCAGTCCATGCAAGTGTTGAAAAGTGTTGGTGCAAGGACACAGCCTCGCCTCACTCCTGAATTACCAGGAAAGAAGCTCGACAGGCCCCCCCACACTTTACAGCACTTTCAGTACTAGTATACAGACTGGTACTAGTCCAATAATCCTTGGAATTCCTCTGTCTCAAGATCTCCCAGAGTGATTCCCGATCCACCGTATCGAACGCCTTAAGGTTGATATAGGCTTATCAGGAGTGAATCCAGATTGCTCCGGGCTCTGATACATCTCAGAAGGATGTGGGCAAGAACCTTGTTTGGTATACTGAGCAGTGTGTGATGCGTCGATAGTTGCTGCAGTCCCATCTGCCCCAGTTCCCCTTCCAGAGAGGGATGACCACACCCCTCAACGGTTCAGGGAATGGTACTAGACCGCCAGATGGCAGCCAGGACAGCATGCAACCCCCGTACCATGGGTTCACCACCAGCCTTTAACAGTTCAGCTGGGATGCCGCATATACCAGCTGCTTTACCACTCTTCAGCTTAGAGATCGCTCCCCTAACTTCAATTAGGGAGGGAGTGTCCTTACTGATAGGTGGGTCCGGCAACGGAATCTCGGCACTACCCGCATCCAAGTTAACTGTTGGTGGTCAACATGGTGCAACTGCTCAAAATGCTCACCCCAGCGCTCTCGCACCGTAACAGGATTTAAGACGATCTGACCACCTACTAAGCGAACTGCTGTCACCTGTTAAGAGGGCTTGGAGTTCAGCTTTCTCAGGGCTTGGTATGCAGGACGAAGGTCATTTACTAAGAAATGGCCTTCTACCTCCTCTGCAAGACTCCTAACAAACTGTTTCTTGTTCCTTTCTTAACATCCGATCCCCTGTCAGAAGAGCCGTACGACAAGCATCTGTGGCATCCAGTCTCATGCGAGATGGAATTCTGTCTTGGTCTCGGGTATTCACCAATCGGTTCGCGCTTGAAGGTGTCCCACAGAAGTACAGGGTCCGTTAGATTGTCGAGCACTGCGAGACGACCACATTCCGGACATACCCCCTCCCTCAGCTTGTCCAAGTGAAATACCCTGGAGTGATCGTTGGACCGCTGTGGGGTTTTGAAATGGACCCGAAGGGTAACGACAACCAATCTATGGTCAGTACTACAGAACTCGGCACTCCTATACACTCCGAGTGCTTACGGGTATGTGGTCGATCTCCAT